CCCCATGATGTCTGAGAGGGTGACTGACTGACCCCTCCCCCCACAGGTGCCAGGTATGAGCTGCCTCTGGCACAGCCCTGGTGTCCTATCTGTACCACCACCACCCCTTCTTTACTGTCACTTCCCAAATCCAGACGAGTCATCACCATCCTCATGTTGAAAGCCACTGAGGGGGGCGATTTTAGACCACCTGAGGCCACATCATGCCCATCCTAGGTAGCCTCCGTCCATCTTCTCTTTTTTATTTTTTCTTCTTTTTTTTAATTCAAGTGTAATTATTATATAGGGTTATTTCAGGTTTTGGTGTAAAATACAATGATTCAACAATTCGACACATTTCTCAGTGCTCAAGGTAAGTGTGCTTTGTCTCTTTCACCCCACCATCTTTGCTCACAGGGACAGCGGAGTTTTCCCACGGTAAAACTTCTGAAGATTTCTTTTTAGACATTGTTTCCTCTCTAAAAAGTTTCACTTACGGAAAATCTTCTCTCCCTTCTAGAGCGGATCCCCTTCCTGCTCTCCTGCTCTTCCACCCACCCCCACTCTGGGGAGGTGGAGTCAGCCCCCTCAACCTGGACTTCTTACCAGGGAGGCACCCCCACAATTCAGGTGTACCAAATCCTTCATGTTGTCCTCTACGACTTTAGTCCTTCTTTCAGGGTCAGGCCAGATCCATGGCCACAAGAAGAGCTGAGAGTGTCCAGATTCTGTGCCTGCCGTCACTCATTGAGGTTCCCATACTGATTTAAGACTGTCCCAGACCGGCTCATATGACTAACGGGAGTTCAGCCATCTCTAAGCTAGCCGAGAGAAGAGAAGCTAGTTAGAGAAGAGAAAGAGCACTGCCACTTACTCTGCCTCTCCAGATACCCACGAGTCCCCTCACGTCCCTGTCCACACCTGTCCCCGCAGCATTCCCACCCCTGCCCTCCACCTCACCTCGTCCCTGGCATGTCCTGACCCGCTAATCTTGTTTCTACCAGGTTATTGTCCTTGCTGCTATAGCAGCCCTATAGTTCATTCTTTCCCCCTCCCTACCTGGGGACTCTCTGGGTCAATACCACCTGAGGCCACCCCCTAAGGTTGGCAAAAGTGGTTGTTACCTTTCTTACTCCCTCCAAGGGCAACGTGGCATCACAGCCAAAACTTGGACAAAATGGCCAAAGAAGAAGCTTCCATTCCAACATCAAGGTCAATCACCCAGGGATAAAACCATGATAGTAATTACTATTACTCACACCATGTTCACAATGGCCATGCCACAGGCACACTGTGGTTTTAAGAAAAAAATTTCTACCACTCTGGAACACAGTATGGAGGTTCCTCAAAAAACTAAAAATAGAACTACCCTACCGCCCAGCAATTGCACTACTAGGAATTATCCAAAAGATACTAAAACGCTGATTCGAAGGGGCACATGCACCCCACTGTTTATAGCAGCACTATCAACAATAGCCAAATTATGGAGAAAAGCCCATATGTCCACTGACTGATGAATGGATAAAGAACATGTGGTGTATATATGCAATGGACTACTACTCAGCGATCAAAAAGAATGAAATCTTGCCATCTGCAACAATGTGGATGGGACTGGAGGGTATTACTCTAAGTGAAATAAGTCAGGCAGAGAAATACAGGTATCATATGATTTCACTCAGATGTGGAATTTGAGAAATTCAAAAGATGAAAATAGGGGAAGGGAAGGAAAAATAAAAAAAAACAAGAAGGGAGGTAAATCATAAGAGACTCTTAAATATAGAACAAACCGAGGGTTGCTGGAAAGGAGGCAGGGAGATGGGTTAAATGGGTGATGGGCATTAAGGGGGACACTTTTTGGGATGAGCACTGGGTGTCATATGTAACAGATGAATCATTAAATTCTACTCTTTTTTAATTTTTTTTCATTGTTTATTTTTGAGAGAGAGAAAGACAGCATGAATAGGGGAGGGGCAGAGAGAGGGAGACACAGAATCCAAAGCAGGCTCCAGGCTCTGAGCTGTCAGCACTAAGCCACCCAGGTGCCCCACTAAATTCTACTCTTGGAGCCAAGACTACGCATATACTATGTTTTGTAATTGGCTCGTGCAATTATGGAGGCTGGTAAACCCTAAGCTGCAGGGTGGGAGGAAAGAGCCAATGTTATAGTTCATATCTGAAGGCTATTGGCTGGCACAATGCCCTCTTGCTCAAGGGAGAATAGTCTTTTATTCCATTTAGGCTTTCAACTGATCAGATAAAGCCCACCCACATTATGGTAGGCAGACTGCTTCTCCAAAGTCTGTCTATTTAAATTTTGTTCTCATCCAAAAGCATCCTCACAGGAATATCCAGAATAACGTTTGCCCATATGCCCAGACACCATGGCCCAGTCAAGTTGGCATGTAAAATGAACCATCACACCATGACCCTCTGATTTGGTAAGATTTGAAGTTAGAACTCTCTCTCAACCGTAGGGCACCTCCTGAAATCTTTGCTCAGCTCTTTTTAGCCTTCCTGCTGTTGATTCCCACCAATCACCTTTGAATCTCACTCTGTGCATGCCCAGGTTAGAAGTTAGCCAAGGAGGGGTACCTGGGTGGCTCAGTCGGTTAAGCATCTGACTTCAGCTAGGTCATGATCTCACAGCTCGTGGGTTCAGGCCCTGCACTGGGCTCTGTGCTGACAGCCTGGAGCCTGGAGCCCGGAACCTGCTCTGGATTCTGTGTCTCCCTCTCTCTCTGCCCCTCCCCTGCTCACATTTTGTCTTTCTCTCTTTTTCTCTCTCTTTAAAAAATAAACATTTAAAAAAATTTAGAAGTTAGTCAAGGATTTAAGGGGAATTCTAAAGCAGATCTGGGGTGTCCTCGTCTAAGGCTGTATTCTTTCTAGGATTATTCCCCAAAACTTCTAGCCACTATGGCTGCCGTAAGCCCCGCTCTCTGTCTTCCAGTGCCCATAAGATAGCCACTTTCTGTTTACCCTGTGTGTACTGTGAACTGGACATGTCCTCAGGGGTGGAGCCAAATAAACGTGAGCTTCCCTCTGGCTTATGCCTGCTTCCAGCGGCTTATGCTTGCGTCCAGCGGCTCATTAAGACAAATGGTTGTCTTAATGGTATTCTGTACTGAGTTTATCAGTTACTGGCAGAAGGGTTAGGTACACTACTGAATCCCTAGAGTTATTTTTTGAAGTATTTAAAGATTTTCACGCTAAGTAATAGTTTTGTGCTAGCATTTAATTTTTTTTTTTTTTTTTTTTTTTCAGATTTCATTGGGGTCAGTAAATGTAAAGTGCTTGGTCTCAATCCTGGGTAATTTGAACCCAGGTAGGGGCCTGATAGAGGTGTAGGAGTCATAAACTCAACCTAACTCCCTCCAGAAAGCTGACGGAGGGGGCGGAGGGTCCTCTACAGTAGCAGGTAGCACCTTCTGGATGACGTGGCTGAGGCCACATGAGGTCTCCCCTTAGAGTGAGGGTCCTGGAGCCAGAAGGCTGAGCCCTTGCTGCGAGCTGTAAATGCCCCATCAGAACACATCAGGGGCAACTCTTGGACACTGTTTTACTTCCTTTTTGGTCACTCACAACCTGTTGCCAGCACATAAGGACCACCTTCTGATGTAAACTCAGGAAAGGACAAAAAATCAGAACCACGTTGTAAGGCTTTTTTATGGGTCTTTGTTTTCACTAGGAAAAATAATGGGCAGCTCCGAGCTACTTCCCTAAAGATCTCAGTCCACCCTTCCACGGGCTCCTGACTGTCCACAGAATGAGCCAAGGAGGGCTCACCTTTCCTTGGGTAAGAAAGGACAGTGGGGTCAAATCTGCACTTGCCCCAAACAGGGGGCCAAGTCCTCTCTTGATCTCTGCTGCTGATCTAACATGTGCGGTGGTTGTGAGAGGCGAATCTGAGCGGCCCTACACTAACTAGAGACACCTGTTTTGCTTTGTTTAAAAAAGAAAAGTGGGGGCGCCTGGGTGGCTTAGTCGGTTAAGCGTCCGACTTTCGCTTGGGTCATGATCTCGCGGTTGGCGGGTTCGGGCCCCGCGTCGGGCTCTGTGCTGACTGCCAGCTCGGAGCCTGGAGCCTGTTTCAGAGTCTGTGACTCCCTCTCTCTCTCTGACCCTCCCCTGCTGTCTCTCTCTCTCTCTCTCCTAGAAATAAATAAAACATTAAAAAATTTAAAAAAAAAAAAAAAAGAAAAGTGTTCTGGGGTCCCTGGGTGGCTTAGTCGGTTAAGTAACCGATTCCAGCTCAGGGCACGATCCCGTGGTTGGTGACTTCCAGCCCCGCGTTGGGCTCTGTGCTGACAGCTCAGCGCTTTGGATTCTGTGTCTCCCTCTCTCTCTGCCCCTCCCCTGCTTGCACTCCGTCTCGCTCTCTCAAAAATAAACATTAAAAAAAATGTTTTATAGCAGCACTCTCCACAATAGCTAAAACATGGAAAGAGCCTAAGTGTCCATCAACAGACGAATGGATCAAGAAGATGTGGTTTATCTATACCATGGAATACTACATGGCAATGAGAAACAATGAAATCTGGCCATGTGTAGCAACATGGATGGACCTTGAGGGTGTTATGCTGAGCGAAATAAGTCAGGCAGAGAAGGACAAATACCATATGTTTGCACGTATAGGAGGATTAGGAGGAACTTGACGGAGGACCAAGGGGGAGAAGAAGGGCGGAAATGGTGGGGGAAAGGGAGAGAGGCAAACCATGAGAGACTCTTGAATGCTGACAAAAACTGAGGACTGATGGATGTGGGGGGGGGGGGGGGATGGGCATGAAGGAGGGCACTTTGGGGATGAGCACTGAGTGTTATGTAGAAACTAATTTGACAATAAACTATTTGTAAAAAAAAAAAAAATAAAAAAAAAAAAAAAAAAAAAAAAAAAAAAAAAAAAAAAAAAAAAAAAAAAAAAAAAAAAAAAAAAAAAAAAATGTTTTAAGTGTAATTAAAAAAAAAAGAAAGAAAAGGACCATGTTCCTTTTTACTGAGTCTACCAGTTCACTTAAGTGAGATTTGTCAGCAATCTGGCTAATTTTATTTATATGAACAATGGTAAACATTAGCGAATACCTGGCTTATTGTATGATTATAATCAACTTTATGTTAAGACTAGCTTAAGAGAAATCTATCTCCATGAAAAGAAACATCGGACAAACTATCATTTGAAGAACAGTCAATAAAATGCCTGACCAGGGCTCCCCAAAACTGTCAAGGAAAGTCTGAGAAACTCACCACCAAGCCCAGGTTAAGGAGACATGATGACTAAATGTAACGTGGCATCCTGGATAAGGTCCTAGTACAGAAAAGGGATATTAGGTAAAAACTAAGAAAATATAAATAAAATATAGGCTTTAGGTAATAATGCTCTCAAATAGGCTCGTTAATTGTAACAAAGCATACTAACGTAAGGTGTTAATAACAGGAAGCTGCGTATGGGGCATATGGGAACTCTCTGAAATACCCTCACAACTTTAAGGAAAATCTGAAACTATTTTAAAATAAAACTTTATTCAAAAATATATGTAAAGAAATTAATGTCTAAAAATGTAAAACTTCCTGGGCACCTGGGTAGCTCAGTTGGGTAAGCATCCAACTTCAGCTCATGTCATGATCTCGCAGTTCCTGAGTTCAAACCCCACATCGGGCTCTGTGCTGACAGCTCAGAGCCTGGAGCCTGCTTCAGATTCTCTCTCTCTCTCTCTCTCTCTGCCCTTCCCCTGCTCATGCTCTGTCTCTCTCTCAAAAAATAAATATGCATAAAATTTTTTTTAATGAAAACATCCTTAGTCTCACCTTCCCTGAATTTTGGAGTGGAGTAAAAGTTGACCAAAACTAATTGTAAATAATAGATGACGTCTGCTGAGTGCCTATTACGTGTCAGTGTTCTAAGAGCTTTCCTGTGTTACCTCATTTAGTGCTGACAAGCATATTATGGGTAAATACAACTATTAGCCCATTTTTACAGATGCAGAAACTGAGACATAGCAAAATTAAACAACTTGTCCAGCCCACAAAACAGCATTTGGCTACAGAGACTATATACTCGAATACATCCCTATACCATGCAGAGAGATCACAAATGATGAGAAAATCATGTCAGTGGAAATTCCACAACCATGAACACTCAGATCCCAAATATGCTGACATGTGAGTCTGGGATGTTTGAGGCCTGAGCAACTTCCCTGCACTCTGTGCAGAGACGTGCCACTCATTTGTCATCCAATGATAACGTACACGTGGAAAATAATATTCTTTGAAGGATGATTAATTTATCTGACAAGCCCGAGATGATGACAAATGACTCCGAGGGAAAAGAATCAGTCAGTAGGATGGGCCCTGAGCACAGCCTAGACCTGGCCCCTTTTAGACTTGACGTCACAGGCCCCACCCCTCTGCTTGCATCTTTAGGCTCTGCTCAGCTCAGCCTCCCTCTGTCTGAGCAAACCCCATGCATACTCACAGGGAAGGAGTCTTATGACTCCTGCAGGCTGACCCTCCCCGGCTGTCTCTAATGAATCCCAGAGCACATTCTGGAGTAAACTCCAACGCGTGTGTTTTTAACCCCAGTTCTCAAGCTTGAACACTTGCGGGAACATGGGGTTCACTCTCCCCAGATGCAGCTCATCCTTTGGTGCCCTAGTCATTGCTACAAGAGACCCAAGGCCAGCTCAGAGCTCCCCCAAGCCTGGTGCTCCCCCAGGTCCTCCACATCCTAGTCAGTGGCACCAAACCCTACAAGCAATTCTGAATCATGTTGTCCCTCTCGATCAACTCCACCCACCTGTAAGTCTTTTTTTTTTTTTTAAGAGACAAACCAAGAAACAGACTCTTTTTTTTTTTTAATTTATTTTTGAGAGAGAGATAGAGACAGCATGAGCAGGGGAGAATCAGAGAGAGAGGGAGGCACAGAATCTGAAACAGGCTCCAGGCTCTGAGCTAGCTGTCAGCACAGAGCCCGATGCGGGGCTCGAACCCACAAACCGCGAGATCATGACCTGAGCCGAAGTCGGACGCTCAACCGACTGAGCCACCCAGGCGTCCCCACCCACCTGTAAGTCTTAACACCTCTGCCTCTAAACCCCATCCCTGTATAGCTACCCTCTGCATGCTTGCCTCCAGCACCCCAGCCAAGCCACACTCACCTCTTACTTGGATTGGGACAAAGCACCAAGCCGGACTCTTGTGGCCCCCCATGATATTGGCATGTCATGACTCATTTGAACATCACAATAACTCTCATATTGTAATCTCCATCTACTCATTTGCCTACTCTCAGCTATTCCAAATTTAGATAATGAAAAGGAGTAAAGGCGTGTCATTCATTAACCTAGTCAAACCCCTACATATTTCTTAACATTCTATGATATATACACCTGAAAATACACATAGAAGAATATATATATGCATATACATTTGCTTTATGTATTGATTTTAATTTATAGATTCAACGAAATCATATTTTTAATTTATGAAGATAGATGCAGATTTTAAATTTGTTTACCTTGCCAGATAACCCTCTCCCAACTCACCTTCTTCCCCTCTGGGCACTGGGTCCTGGATGCAGTAAAACAGCTATTCCCGTAGGTCCTGGCTGGCTGGTGCCATCCGTGGCCTGCTCTGCCCATGCACGTAAGGATGGCTCTTCCTCCTTATGTTTGAGTGTCATTGGCCCCTGTCTCTTTGAGCAGGTGTTCTGCCTGCCAAGGTGGGCTGTCCAGGGACTGCATGCGTTCTGGGGGCCCTGGGGCCTACTGGGCTGGGAAGACAGAGGTTTCCCTCAACCTCTAACCTCTGCTACCACACTTCCAAATCACTGGGTGAGGCAGTCAGAATGGTCTTCGCTCATGACATTGTACCTACACACACAAGTGACTTCTTGTGGTTGCTTCCAAACACTTTCTTTTTTTTTTTTTTTTTTTTTTATTTCTAGGATAGAGAGAGACAGCGTGAACAGGGGAGGATCAGAGAGAGAGGGAGATACAGACTCTGAAACAGGTTCCAGGCTCTGAGCTGGCAGTCAGCACAGAGCCCGACGCGGGGCTCGAACCCACAAACCGCGAGATCATGACCTAAGTGAAAGTCGGAAGCTTAACCGACTAAGCCACCCAGGCGCCCCGCTTCCAAATACTTTCATGAGCTCCTGCCCTTCGGAGCTCCTCTATCACCAGGAACTGGTACCATGGAGAGGGATTTTCAAGAACGGATTCATAGAGCTTCCAGTAGGAGTGCCACAGAAGGAAGTCAGTGAGCTTGAATTTGGGGTTTACGCCGAAGGGACCCATTGCAAAGAGTCCCATGCTGCCTCCCAGGGCATGTCAGCTTTAAAACCCAAGGAAGCAGCACTGGACTTCAGCATATTTCTCTGTGTTCTTCACCCAGGAGACCCTGTGTGGGGCTAAAGTGAAACCAGAGTCCAGGATTGGCACTGGGGAAATTCATCATGATGTGGGATGGAGAAGAGGATCCTACAGTTTGGTTGCATCTATAGAAAATAAAATGATTACTGGGAATTCTGAAGCATTCACCTTAAGTTTATAAGTGTCTCTGCCATTCACCAACCAGAAGTCTTAATTAAAATGCTGTTAAAAGACGCAAATCAATTAACAGATACCTTACAAGATGGTTTATTCTATCTTACACACAGAAAATTGCTTATGAGTATCATGTTACCGCTTTAGGTTATCAGTTAACAAAGGCTGCTAATGAACTGCGTTGTTATCAAGTCAGATAAAAGACGCCCTGGGAATCCAGGCAAGTTATTATAACACAGCGCTTGGTTTTGAAATATTGCTCATCTTTCATCGCACACAAGGAAAGTAATCCAATCCAAGGAGAACCAGTCGACACACCTACTCAGATTTCTGTTGAATTGGGAAGACAAAGAGTATTCCATAGTGCAGCCCCAGAAACACAATGCTAAAATTAGGGGGAGAGAAATGCAAACAGGGCCTGTGTCACAGAACCTTAGGTTCATGTCCTCCATGCAAAAGCCATTCACGTTTGTAGTAATAACCACAAAATAATGCTATAAGCATAATAATAATCCCTTACACTTGTGTAGCTCCCTAAAAGGCACACCATCGGTTTTTTCGTTTAATCGTTTGTTGGTTCCATCATTCAAAGAGCTGCAGGACATCCCATGGTCATTGAGACCCCTTCTTCTTCATCAGTCTTTCATGTCTTTCTGTGGAAGATCAGTCTTTCATTTATAAGGCTGTGGATGGCCCCACGGTCTTCACGTTTCAAGACCCCTGAATTTTTGCAGGGGACTCATGGCAACTGAGAAGCTGAGGCCAACAGTTCTAGAAAATGATGCTTCCCTGTTGGTAGATGGCAGTGCTAAGGAGGCTGTGTCTTGACTTTGGTCCCCATTTCTGTAAGCCATTTGTGATGGGCAGATTCCATCAATGTGGACACAACGTTATCATAGAAGCATGAACAGCTCCACCATGTTGAACCAGAGTAGACAGTATAGATTTATCGGCTTCCGTCTTTCTTACTGCTGGATAAAGTGCTCATGCCTCACTTTATGCAGTCAGCTTCTTGTGTAAGAGAATTGACATTTTCCTTCAGGACAGAAACACTGTAGATCTGTTACTTGCCCTTGATATTGAGTTCCATATGAAGGTCCATCACTAGCTGTGGAAGCTCAAATCCAAGACATCTCTGAGATTGAAACTGGGAAGCTGTCCAGACCTCCCAACCTCTCCTGAAGAGGCCACTCATTTAGAGCTCAATCACTTGTGCATCTCTGGAAAAGAAGAGAAACATCTGGAAGACTTATTGACAAAGCGATTATGCTCTAACTAATCATGGCATGTGCTTAGGTAGCACACACAGTTAAGTAGGTATGAAAGAATTCATCAGCGTATCTTACCAAAACGGGACATTTCCTCATGCAACATAGAAAAGTACCTGAAGACCAGTGGCTTCTAGATAAAGGGAGAGTTTTTCAGATACAGCTCAACTGAAAGGCTGTCTTCTCTTGCCAAACCTCAAGCCACAAAACATCATGCATTTTGGTGGCAAAAAGGGAAGAAGTCATTCCCTAAGGCTAAGAGGCATATCTGCAAGAAAATGCCACTTCGTGTGCATGGATCTGGGAAGATGCTATAAGGAACAAGGTAGACAGACCTTTGCAAATGTAACTAGAAACTGATACCTTTAAGTCTGAACACGCACCATTATAGTGAGACTTGTCCACACATAGCATATCTGCTCTACCTACATATCCATATGTATATAAAATTAGGAACACAGAAGAAAAGGTGAGGTCACCAAAGCAGACCCCAGTATCATAGAGCTCAGGCTGCAAGTGGGGCACAGACCCTGCTGTGGCAACTTTCAGCTCAAGGCGTCACCGGCACCTCCATGCACTGAGATTGAATTCACACCAACACTTCACTGTAGTGTCACATAGCAGTTGTAATGACAACAGAATTACATTTATGTTTACATGGAATGCTGCATGCTTGTTTATGTCATTTGATTGTCCATACTCATTCTCAATATCTTGCTCTCTAACACGGAAGAAGGGACAGCAGTAGCAGAAAGATAGAGCAGAGTGAAGCATCGATGGGATAAACCAAGTCAAAGGCCATAAAAAAGACAGTACCTACCCACCCCATGTGTGGAGGACCAAGGACACAGGCTGAGGTCAGGGTTACAGAACTTGATGGCAGGCAACGTGGAAGACATACAAATTGGGACCAAGCAAGGATGGTGACAGAGAAATCTGACAGGATTCCAGGAGAGTCTAAAGGCTGTCAGATTTTCATGTTTTTCCTTTATAATATGGTGAGTTCAAAGAAACAGAGTTTAAATTGGATGGTCTAGAGGCCCACAGGCTCACAGAAGGTTCATCCATTTCTGTTCATCAACCCATGAACAAGTCCTGAGTTCAAAGGGCCCTTTCTGGTGTTGTTAGGAAGAGGATCCAAGGCAGTTGGATAAATGCAGCATTCGCCCTTGAGATACTGATGTCTACAGGAGACGGGAAAACCAGGGACGCAGCCTCCTCCTGCTCCGGGTCACCCTCAGCTGGGAAAGTGACACCTGTGAGGTACTCCATGGAGGAAGTTATTCTCCCACAGAGCAGCCATTCCTCTGCATACAGCCGTGTCACTAGCCCCTCGAGAGCCAGGCACAACCCACAAGAAAAGATAAAAACTGGGCAGAGACTGGACTAGCAGGCGAATGAGGTTGCAGACCCGGGCTGGGTACCAAGAAAACGAGAAAGAGACATTTGGAGACTGTACGCGCCCTGTCTCCGCTATTACTAAACATAGGTGGTTTTAGCCAATGCAGTCAGAGAGGAGAACACAATCTGAGGCATTGGAACTGGGAAAGGAGATCTACAATTTGGAGATGACATAATATTATGAATATTAAATATTACAGAAAATACTATAACATTATGAAAACTCAAGGAGATCAAGAAGAAACACACACACACACAGTAAAAGCTTTCAATAAGGCTGCCGCTATAACATTAACACGCCAAAAAAAATCCATAAGCAATCAATGACTAAGTAGGAGACTATTTAGGAATAAACTTAACAAGAAATGTGGAAAACCCATAAGGTAAAAGCCAAAAGCTCTCTCAAGACACACAAACACGGGCTTGCAAATAAAGTCCCCTTTCCATGAAAGGCAGCTTAACGTCGTAAAGAAGTCGATCGTCTTCAGTTTAATACATGTAACTAATGCAACCTCAACAAAAATACCGAGGTGCCTGTTCTGTGGATAGACCCTGGAGATGGTTCTGAAGTTCATAGGGATAAACAAATATGCAAGAATGGCTAGCAAAGAATAGCAAGAACGTGCCCCTGAATCAGAAGTGCAATGGGAGCCCACCGGGTGGTGGAGCAAATCATGAAGCCTGCACAAGTAGGAGTGTGGTATGAGCACACGAATAATCACAGATATCACGGAAAATAACACCAAGTCCAGAAATAGTCCAGATAAGCAAGGATATTTATCATCCTTTTTTTAGATTCTCAATAGTTGCTGCTTTGTCTTCCTGTATTCCTTTTACAAAACTATATTTAATTAAAATTATATATATACAATTTCTATAAAATTAAAACATATTTACATATGTACACACATATTTTTTCTAGCTGTTATAAGGTTTTGTGTTTTATTTAGATCTCTGATCCATTTGACATTTATTGTGGTGCATAGTATGACATATGGATCCAATTTTATCTTTTTCCCAAGTGGCAATCTATTCAGCATCCTTACTGAAAATATACTTTCCCTTGTTTTATTTGCCACCTTTATGATGTTCTAAATGCCCTTGTTTAGGGATGCCTGGGTGGCTCAGTTGGTTAAGCGTCTGACTTCGGTTCAGGTCATGATCTCACCATCCATTAGTTTGAGCCCCGCGTCAGGCTCTGTGCTGCCAGCTCAGAGCCTGGAGCTTGCCTCAGATTCTGTGTCTCCCTCTCTCTCTCTGCCCCTCCCCTGCTCATGCTCTGTGTGTGTGTGTCTGTCTCTCAAAAATGAATAAATATTTTTAAAACTTTTAAATAAAAATTTTAAAAAAGGAAAACAATACTCTGTGTATACAGAGGGCTGAATCTAAACAAAAAGAATTGCAAAGAAATCTTCAAGTTACTGCCAGTTTGTAGTTGTATACTGTTATGATTCTGGAAGTATTTTGTGTAATATTAGAGGGCAGATAAAGGGTAAAAACATTTATATGGAACAGAGTTGTCACTTTGTAGGAGGCAAAACAGAAATAAGGAGCGAGGAAAGCTTAAGAAGAGTCTTCTGGTACAAGTTTGTGGTTCAAATATACATTTCCTGATTCTGTCTGTGAAGAGGGCCTGGAAGGAATGATGTTTCCAGAGCCCTGAGCACACACCGCATCTAGATCATGGCTTCTAAAAGCTATTCCACATCAAAAAAGAAAAAAGAAAAACAGGGGCTCTCAGGGGTACATGGGTGATTCCAGGTCTGAGCAGGGACAGGACACGGTGAGCCTGTGATGTTGTGATGTGTCAGCCTAGGCAATGCTCAAAAGCCACTAAGAAGTGACTGGTACTGGACAAATTTGGGACAATTTGAGCATCACAAAGATCCACGATGGCAATGAATTATAATATATTGAAATCCACAGTAATGATACTCAACAAGTGAGAGAAAGAGAAAGGGGGGAAGGAAAAATTCTTTTTTTCTAGAAGAATACCAGCTATTAAATGCAGAAAGGATGCTAGCATTAGAAATTCCATATTCTTTAACTCCAGGGTAATAACTGATTCAAACATGGATTGTGAACAAACGTAAAATCATTGGGCAAAGAATCATTGGAGGTCAGGATGTTCACATGGCCTCAGAGTACCCCCTTCAGATTATCAACTACTTACAAAGAGGAAAATTGGTCCCCCTGACACAGAGATCTAGCAATCGCTTCCTTAACCAAGCGATCAAACATAGCATTACCAACAGTGAGAGAGCCTGGTGTCATGATGCAATACAATAAAAGATGGCACAATATCACCTCCGTGGTGTTCTTGACAAAATTCTCAATCTGCATCTACTCGGGAAGAAACAGTCAGACAAATCCAGAAGATAAGACATTATACAAAAGTACTTCCATATGGACAAGGCAGAGCTGTCCAACATGAGAAGAGTCTATACAGAGACAAAATCAATACCATGTATCCTGGTTTGGAAGGCTTGAGCTATAAAACATATTCTGAAATAGACAGATTTGAACAGGGCAGTATGAATAGGTGAGATTATTGAATTTTCTCCGTCATTCTCAGATGTGGTCATCATATTGTGATTATGCAGGAGACGCCTGGTTATGTATTTAGGGGTGAAATATGTCTACTAATTTAGGAGTGATATTGCTACTAATTTTTAAGTGGATCAAAAAAAATGTATGTATACAGAGTCAAACAAATGGGGGAAATGTCGACTGGTGAATCTAGGTGAAGGATGTGCATGTTTTTATTACACTGTTCTTTCAACTTCTTGGTGGATTTGAAGAGTTTTCCAAAGGAAGGAAGGTGAGAGCACATGGATGGTACATGAGGTGGGGGCAGGTGGGTCCAGGTAATACGAACGGCGACCAATCCCACAAACTCAAGCCTCATCCACGCTGAAACCCAAAAGCAATGGGGGAAACAGATGCTTCAGCCAAACAGATAGCTTGATGACACAAAAGCTTTGGATTTTTTTCTTTTCATCGTGTGGACTAAGGTCGTTAGTTAATGGCTTGATTGGCTTTTCAAGGGAAAAATCTGATAAAGAAGAGAAAGTTAACTATCCTGCTTCTAAAATCCTGTTTTCTCAGCTCTGCCCAGGCAAATGTCCCACAGCGTCATTTTAAATCTTGCTGAAGTACCACTATATGGACTATTTTAGGGGGAAAAAGAAACCAGCCCCCGCTGATTCCTGGTTTCCCACCCATCCCGGCACAAGCAGTTGTGACTAGCAATCCCCTCCAGCCCTGCACCGGGGCTGCCTCCGGAGAGCCACTGTCTCTCTCTCTTTCAGAGCGAGCGATCACTCTTACAACTCACCTTTTGGAGAAATTGACGTGTGACCTGCAAAACAGGAGAATCGGATGTTCATTAACTCATTCTTACGTGACAAAAAGCACATGCAAAGTTTTGCTCCAGGAGAATGGCTTGCCTGCCCTTAGATTTTTCTTTCCGGTCTCACTTCTTCCTGACTCAGCCTGACTCCATCTAGTGTCAGTTTTGGAAACTTAAGTTGTGCCTCCCTTCTCTTCAAAAAGCCCTGTTTGCAGAGGAGCTCTGGTCTGCTGCTACATGCCAAGAACACTTCCCTGCACATGGTGCGGGCATATATCTCCCACCCAGCCACCCACCTCTCCCCTGCCCTTCATGTCTTCCTTCCTTCGTCCACCCACCCGCTTTCCCCTACTTCCTTCAAGTTCCCTTTCCTGGACTTCACTTGTTCCATGTTTATTTTTGAATGACTATTCCAGCCACCTAGTCAGGATTATGGAAGTTGCCTCCTATAGTTGTGATGCTTCAAAATAATTCAGAACTTCCAAACACACACACAAAACCGTGATGTTCTTCTGACAGGATCATACGTGGGGACATAAAGCCACGGTGACTATTGCTTCAACAACAATGCTTTTAACGTGGTTTGTTTGACTGCACACAGCAGCATCTTCACATGTGCGTACACACACACACACACACACACACGTGTGTGTGTCAGTCACTCGCTACGAGTCATCAGAGCTTCTCCACCCCCTCACCCCGCAGTACACACGCACACATGTGTGCGTGCACCAGGATTGTAATTAGGATTTGTGAAATCTTCCATTTTTGTGAATTCCATGATTAAGACATCCCTGAAACAGGGTCTGCAGAGACTTCTAGGAGGCACAGGAGTTTCGAAGGCACAGTACCCTAACTCAAAGTGCCCCTCCATGCATGTGGGTGGTCTGGATACTCAAGGCGGCACGCCCGACCCCATGGGTGGGGGGAAGATCACTATGACCACTCCGTCACGACATGGGGCGAGAGCTGGCCACAGCAGTCTGTACCCACGTGTCCAGGGTGCGTCAGCCACCCAGCAGAGGTCCCCAGAGGCCATGCTGGGGAAAGACTCTTCACCATCACAGACATAGCCTATCTACCCCAAACTGACTCCCACCTTGTGCTCCCCATCACAGAGACCAGCTGGAACCCCAAAGGCAATGCAGGTTCTACGCCTGGGGTTCATCTATTCATTTCCGGGTCCCCTCTCCCCCTACCATCAGGAGCTAATCTTTCTCATCCCACACTCAGTCCATGGCCTCCCATGCCCCCATCTTCCCAGATCCCTGTTTGAGGCCCTGATGAAGGTCAGTCTGCCTTGACTCTTCAGCGGGAGAGCCTGAGTCAGCACCCCGCCGGGAGCAGTGTGACTGCTGCCTGTGGCTGAGCCAGGACAAGGACGTCTTCCTGACAAGGGTCACAGCTGCACCCTCAGCAGAGCCCAGCACTGTGCCGATCCCCTGAGGGCTGAACGAAGACAGAGCTGCCCCTGCGACAAGGCCCCCTAGGGTGGGGAAGGACAGGGCAGCGAGAGCCAGCCAACTTGGAATTCCACCTTTCCTGCACGAGCCGTCTCAGGGATTTGGGGGCGCTTGGGAGCTGTCTAACATGTGTTCTTTTATAAAGAGGAATGTGACACCTTTAGCCAGTGTGGGTCTGGGTGTGTATGAACACGTGTGTGTGAGATGAGACACATGGCAATGGTCTCGCAGCCCATAAACGCCCCCCAGTACTTCCACACATTTTCCAAAGCTCTCTGGGATGGTCCCCTGCCCCTCTTCTGCGTGAGACCCCCAGATGCAGGGGAGGTGATGTTGCCAGCAAGAGGAGAACTGTGTGGTCCCCCTGGGGCTTGGAGACCACTGCTCCATGGCCCCACTGGCCCCAGGGTGAACCCCACTAAACACAAGGTCCGGTTTTCTCAGAACTGTGCAGGTTCACGCTCATTGTCCCGACAGTTATTAGCAGGGTGTCTTCTCCATCTTCACAAAGTCCTGATTCGGATGAGAAGGTAATGGTCACCCTACTCACACTCCACTCTCCCAGGGGAGCCCCTTGCAGGATGGCCAAATGGAGGCGGAGGTGATGGGACAGAGAGAAAGACAGTGAGAGTCAGAGGAGGAGGGGACAATGCTTGGAGGAAGGGGTGATGAAACACGCCGTAGGGTCCAGAAACCAGAACACCTGGGGAGGAGATCCTCCGGAAAGTGACCTTCTTGAGAAAATCCATTTGCAGCTCACCACCCCCCACCCAGGCGTGGCTCTGATGACAGTGTGCCTGGCGTCTGTCTCCTTCACACGCAAATTCCTTCCATACTCATGACACAGCGCCTACTGAGTCCGAGGTCCCAGGGAGGAAGTAGAGGTGAGCCTATGCTCTGGGTCCCCTCTAAAACCCACCACCCCACTCAGCCCAGACCTCTGTCTGCATGCCAGCCTTCACTGAGCACCTCCTCTACTTGGAAGTCTCCAGAAGCCTCAGATTCACCGTGTCTAAAAAAGGAGTCGCCATCTCAGCCTGACAGCCCACAGCCCAAATGTGTTCTATCACCCACTTTCCAAGGGCAGCACCAGGCTGGGACCTTCTGACCCCCACAAACTCTGCACCATCTGGGTTCCTTCCTCTTGGTGGCTGCATCCTGGCTCAGCCCCTAGGCCCTGGGTCCTCCTCCTCAGTATCACCCGATCCTTGCTCCAGCAGGGCTTGCGGCAGGTCTGAGCCCTCTGGGGGCTTCCCTGCAGCTCTCCCTGTATGCGGTGCGGCCCCCACTCCATGCTGCTACAGCATAAAAGATATTCCATCCCCCTCCTGCTTAGAATCCATCAGTGATTGACGAGAAGTTTCAGGATGGGGTCAGACCCCTTCACTTAGCATACAAGACCCTGAGTAGAGACTACCGATCTCTTCAGCTTCTTCTCTGCAGAGCTTCATGTGAAGCATTCGCTCCTGCCACATGGCATGCTGGTTCCCTGGATGCGCATGCGGACACACGTCAGGGTGCCTTCTGCCTGCGTGCACTTCTCCTTCTCCCCCCGGTGAACTTCTCATCCTTCCATATGCAACCACACTCCTGCTCGCATCCCTAGATATCTTGCTTCCCAGCTGGGCCAGGCACCCCTGTGCATCACCAGGCACAGGCCTGGCTGTGTCACAGCACTGCCCTGACCCCAACACTGCAACGAGCACCCATGATGGGCCTGTGTCCCCTGCAGACTGAAAGGGAGCCTGTCTTCTAATCTTCAGCACCTAGCCCAGAGCCTAATGCCCATTCACTCATTCATTCAACACATATATAAGTGCCCACTCTGTTACAGGCACTGTGCTAAGTGCTGGGGCTGTAGAGATGGAAAAAAAAAAAAAAAAAAAAGACCCCACCCTAAGGACCTTATATTTCAAGGGGGAAAACCGTCAAAAGCAATATATCACATGATGTCAATGAATGGAAAATAATATGAAGAAAAATAAAGCTAGGGAAGGGGAAAATAATGATCAGGGGAAGGGGGCTCTATTTCAAACAGGCCATCTAAAATGAAATGATGGCACTGAAGCAGAGATATGAAAGAAGTATAAAGCAAAGCTTACAGCTATCTGGGAGAAAAGTATTCCACATGACAGAAAACAACATATGCAAAGGTCCTGAGGCAGGATTGTCCTCGGAAAACATAGTCTTTATGCAGAAAAGCAGTGTGGCTCATTGCTAGAGGGGAAGTCAGTTAACCTGGAGTAGGTCATATAGGCTTCCCCAGTGGGTTGGGGCAAGGGCTAGGGACCTCTCTCTGAGTGTTGGGGTGATGCACTGAGGGCATGCAGAGGCCAGCCCAAGCCTCCTTTGGCTACCCTGTGCCCCTTCCTACTCATGACTCTTATCCACTGAACCAAAGAAAGGAAGAGGAGGCATGGGGTGCATTCTGGTCTCCTAGGAAGCATTTTGGAGCAGAAAGAAGGACTAAGTTGACAGGTAAGGAAGCACAATGGATAAAACAGAAGGGAAAATGATACCCTCACTTACCACAGTAGCGACCTTACCTTGGGACTCTCTTCTTCACTGTGATGGTATCTAAACAGAGAAAGCAAAGTATGAGGAAGGAGACACTGGGATCTGTGGTGCAGCTCAGTCAGCGCCAGGCAAGTGGGAGCGAGTCAGAGCCAACCTGACGCAGGCAGCTCTGAAAGGCTCCCTGGTTTGGGGGCACTGGGTAGGGGGGTGGTCTTGGGCTGAGTGCTCCTCATCCTTCCCCTTTGGCTCTGTTGCAGTTTGTCTATCCAGGTGCCATCTAGAGCCACCTTAGCCGGGCACATAAGTAGAACTGAGCCTTCCCTAGAGCCCCCCTCCCCCCATCCTACCCTCTTTCTACCCCCATGATCCCCTTCACTTGCAACTTCTAGACTCTCTTGCCCTAAAGGGATCCAGCAGGGCCCCCATTCTGTGAAGAAGAGGCTATTTCCTCTCCCCACCTATTCCTAAGAATACAAAAGCAATAGTAAGCAAACTCCTATGACCAAGTAAACCCCGCGTGCAGTTGGGCATGCTGGCATCTCAGAAAGCCCCCAAAGGCCGTGTCTCCTCTCCCTGGCCCAGACTTCCCCTTCTGCATATCTTCACAGATAGTAATTACACTTTGCAGAGACACAGTGAGGCTCCTTTCTCCTCATCTTCAGGAAAACCTCCTGGAAAACTACATCATCATCTCATGAGGCAGACCGGGATTTTTGCAAGTCCCGACTTGGGAGAAGAGGGATGCGAATCAGTGTTGTATTTTGCGGTTAAAACTCACAAACTGCCTGCTCAGTGTCTGTGGGTTTCACGTCCCCGCAGATGCTATGGGACACCGAGAACCATGCCAGAGTCCCTGTGAGCCCAGCTCTGTTTGGATCAAGAGGACCCAGCACAGCTCTGAGCAAGACCAGTTTATGACAAAAAAGCAACTCGGCCCATATCTTCTGAGCTCACGGCACCACCCAGCCTCATCCCCTCTTGCGGTCGATTTTATCTGCTCACATTTTTGGATATGAGAACAGACGTTTCTATCTGAAGCCAACTCCGCTCCCTTCCCTACCTTTCTCCAAGAAATCTGTTTCTTAGGAATGGAAAAGTGCAGAGAGAGAGAGAAGGATGGGAGAGAGATGGACAGAGACGCAGAGAGCTCACTGCGTTTCTTTTCTACCCAGTTTTTCAGTCTATCTCCAACCAAGCTTCCGAGCTCCCCGGTGCCTCAGGCTGCCCTGACCATCCTGGGCTGGCCCGGGTGAAGGTCACTGCCCCCTTACCATTAAAGCCCAGGTTTGAGCTTCTCAGGTCCGAGGAGTCATTATCAAACAAGTGCTTCTTGATCATGCAGATCTTCAGGGCCAGGAAGCAGGCCGATATGGCAAGGCCCACAGCCGTCCCAATGATGGCGTACTTGATATCTGCAGGGCAGGGAGGAATTGAACAATGGCATCAACCAGTCACCAGCCTGCAAAAGTCTTATACAGCTCCTGTCACATTCCAGGTGAAGTCCAAAGTCATGTGGGGGACCCTACAATTCCACTTTCCAATCCGCTGAAGCTCAGGGGCACATTTGCTCCCTGCTCCTCGCCCACACCCTACCCCTCCTCCTAGAAGTCCATCCTGTTCTCTTCAGCTGTGGGAATCATTCCCCTGAGGCTGACGGCTCACTTCTCTGGCCTCCCACTTTCCTTCCTGACTCACCTTTTCATTAATTCATTTCTTGCATACGTGTTAATTGCCTGCTCTGTGGTGAGCAGGAAGGCAAAGGAAGAGAAAAGATCTGACTCCATCTTGAGGGGTCTGCGGTCAAGGGCTGGGCTGGCGTGAGAGCCAGGAGCCTTTCCAGAGGAGGGGTGGTCTGCAGACTATACAATGCCTGCTGAGGCGAGCCCCTGAGGTGGAGAGGAGTTGGGACCAGCCATGCAGATAGAGGTGGGGCATGGAAGTATGGCAGAATGCAGGGCCCTGTGGGCACTGGAGCTGCCCAACTTACAGAGAGCAGACAAAGACAGTTCTGGTGACTCATGTCCCTTTGAGGACAGGCTTTCCAGCAGGTCCATGCCCTGGGGGTAAAGCTGTTAGCTCCTCAGGCAGGTCTGAAGGTGAGCGCTGCCCCTGTTCTGGGATGACTGGCAGAAAACCAGCCACATACACCCCTGCAGGCCCCCACCTCGAGCACCCCCCTCCTGCCCCCTCAGCCCTGCATACGGAGGAAGTGGGGCAGCCACCTACCAATTTCGGCCCCAGCAGACTTCCCTGTTGCTAACACTTGAGCTCCTCCAAAATCTGTAAAGAAAGAAAACCCAGACTCTGGTTAGAACAAAACTGGTGGCTGCAATCAGGCCAGGGACAGAGGGCCAAGGCCCTGTCCCCCGCCATAGCCTCCCCCACACCTGGGAAGGCCCTGTATGGGTGCCCCTCCTGCTTGGCCTCCAGCCTCGGAACACAGAGGAGGGCTGCTGGCTGCCACAGGGTGTCCTGGAGCCTGGCAGGGATGTTAGAGCCATCCTCCGAACGCACACAGGGAGTGGGGTTCCCTCGAGTGCCCTCGGGGTTCCGCAGCTCTCTAACATGGTCTCCAAGACCCAAACTCTGACCCTTGCCTGCTGCTTTAGCTTCTGTCATTCCCACAAACTGGCTCACCCCAGCCAGACTGCACTGCCATCCAGTCCACCACCCTGGCCCGGGGCTCTGCTGCCCCTGGGCCATCACCTCTGCCTGGCCACATCTTCTCTTCTCGCCTCTCCTCCCTCCCCTCACCTTGATTCTGTGTTACTTCCTCCCGAGCCCCACGCTGGGCTCAACTGCCCCACTGCATGCTCCCCACCCCCCCTCCTACCTTTCCACCCTCTCTCCGTGAAGCCATCATACCCGACCACACCACTTAGCTAACAATGTTACAGAGAACTGCTGTGTGCCAGGCACCCTGCATCCTAAGAGCCTCACAGCTATTAATCCATTGACTGTATCTTCTGGCCAGTCTCCCCATTGTGCTCTCCATGCCCTGTGGAGGGCTCTACCCTCAGTATTTGACACAGCGTCTGGGACGGAGGAGGTGTTAACAGACGTTCCTCAAATGGGTGAATAATGGTGATAGAGCAGGGGTGCCTCCCTCTTCAGGCCAGGGCCTGACACCTTCCATCAGGAGACGTGGCTCCCAGGCCCAGGAGAACTAAAGCAGAGCGGTAGATCTTGCAAGGGAAGGCACACATTAATTGGCCACTTACTTTGAGGCGATACTGGGTGCGGCACTTGCATTAATACATTTAACACTTGCAGCAACAACTGTGTGAGATAGGCTCTGTTATCATCTCCCTTTGATGAATGAGGAGCCAGAGGCATTGAAGACTTGATAATGGGCCTCAAGGCCAAGAGAAGTGGAACGTGGCAGGGCCAGGGTCTGAGCCACGCCACTTGTACTGGAGAGCCCCGGCCACCCTGCAAGTTCGAATCCCGGGGAACTAAAAGAAGGACCCCACAACCATTAAGGCCAAAGGCTGGAGGGGCTTGGGCTGGGGTGGGGGTTGGTGATGAGACCCAAGCCTGGTTCTAGGTACAAGCGTCCAGGCAGAAGCCGGAAGTGCCACGACCCTCACTGGGAGGGGCCAGGTCTTCCCCAGCTTAGCTCCAAGACAAGTCCACCTCCCACACCCCGCCTCTGGGAGGCTGAATGATGGCCGAGGCACTAGCTCAGTAAAGACATTCCCCAGAAGGGCCACATCTGCCGACGATGTTCAGTGCTTCCTGGGGTGATGTGTTGGGTGGACATCTTGCTCTGCATGTGTTTGGAGGGGAAAGGATCACCGTAATGGAGGTTAGGAATTTTCTGGTGGCCTCACTTGGTAGATGGATAAAGCTGGGAGGTTATGAAGCAAAAGTACACAGCCTTGCTCTAATCACAGATCCTCTTGGAAATTCAATGACTTCTGTCTTTCTTCTGAAACGCACACCCCTACCTGAGGCCCATCCATGCACACACACATCACAGACACCCCCACATACAGTATGACCTTGGTCTCTGTTTCTTTACGTTTCTTACATTAATCCTGCTGCTCCGGCTAGGTTGAAAACTAGTCCAGCAATGGGTCTCAGTCTTATGTGTTGCACCTAACAGATGGGCTGTTATGAGGGGCTGGGCTAGGAGCTGACTTCCAGATTGATGTCCAAACCTCAGGGCTGCATATGCTGCGTGCTCACCCCGGCTCCTTTCCTGACATCGGTCTGGCCCCTCTCCGCCATTACTGGGCACGGGGCAGGGTAAGGCAGGGCATCAGCAGGTGGGGCCAAGCCCACAAAGGGGTAGTCTCTCCCCTACCCCTTTCACACACGAACGCCTTTCCTGGGTCCCCCCCCTGGTGACAGTCCCTCTCCATGTAGACCATGCAGCATAAAAACGTTATATGAGCCCGAAATGAAACTTGAATAGAGAAGGGAGAAAGAACACAGAGTGAGATGGAAAAAGGGAACCAGGGAGAAAGAAATACAAAGAGGCATGGTCGCACAAGGACACACGGAGCCTGTGCCTCAGGAGCTCAGACCCCTGGCAGCAGGGCTGAGAAGGAAAGAGGAGAAAGAACATTTAGGGTCACAAAAGGCCAGGTCCTGCCCTGGCTCTCTGGGCTTCAGACTCTCCTGCCATGTCCGAGGTCAGGGACTGAGTGAATGCCTTCCGTGGGGCCACTGCTTTTCCAGCTGCAGGCACAGGAACCCGGGCGGTGGACGCATTCGGTTCCAGTCGTTCCTGCTAGCCAGCCAGACGGCCGCTCGGGGGCAGCCTTTCCCCTCCTCGGGGAGGGAACTCCCTCCACGCAGCCTTCCCCCTGCGCTCCGCGACTCTGCCCTGCGCTCTAACAAGCCCCTGGGTGAGGATCTGTCATACGCACGCTAGCCCAGCTAACCCGACCCCCGCCTCCTGCCAGCGTCTTGAGCTAGATGAGTCCCTCCTGGGCCATAGACCCCCTGCGAGCCCCCAGTGCTAATTTCCCTTGGTTCTGCAAAGTAGCTGGAGGATGGATGGGCCGAGCGAAGCCACAATGCGCCCCTGCATTGAGACCTGTGAGAGCCCTAGGAGGAAGCTGCAGGGCACATTCTCTGCCGGAATTCTCTGGGTTCTCTTGCAAGCGGGAGGAGGAAGCTTAGCATCCAGAGGAATGCTTAGCTCCAGACCAGGGGAGAGTCCAAGGGGGCGGAGCAGGGGCTGTCCGTCCCAAGGCCAGGCTCCCTGGGGCCACGCAGTTCGCTGGGCGGTATTGGGCGCAGTACTGGCCACATCTGAACTGACTGCCCTCACTCCCGGGACTGCCCACACTGAACCAGGGGCAGGGAGCAGGGACAGAGGTCCAGAGCCCGGCCCTTGCTGCCACCCAGCACAGGGAGCAGGGGGCTGCCTCCGGATGAGTCTGCACCCTCACAGCCTCCCTGTGTGCGCAGGCGCTCTCGCCAAGCCACACACCTGAGGCTATACTTGCCCAGGTCCCCGCTTCCCAGGCCTGCACATCCAGAGGATATTCGTCCCCGCCAAAATAGCCCGCCTCCAGCCCTCTTCTCTGCACCTCCTCCCACCTCGGTCATGCAGAGCACAGCCTGCTTCTGCAAGTGGTTTTCAAAGGAGAAGGAAATGGTCCTGAGGCCTTGAGGCTCCCTGGGTCCCTTCCCCTGATTAATTAGCATATTCCGTCTTTCTGTCAGCAGTGATTGATTGGCTGAGAGGTGGGGCAGGTGATCCAATTCAGCCAATAAGGGAAATATGGAGGACATGGAGGGAAATACGGAGAAACAGGAGTACCTTCTGGAATTGGTAACTGTGGGGCTGTGAGGGATGCCCACTGGGGTTGGAGAGAATCTGTTGGGATTGAAGCCCCCACAGAAGAGGGTCAAGCTGAGACCAAGTCTTAAAGACAGCCTTTGAGCACCTGAATCCAACCATACCTGAAACACCTCCTCTTGACTTTTCAGTCACCTTAGTAAGGAAACACTTTCTTTACCTTAATCTAATCCAAGCTAAGTAACTGTCACCTGCCATGAGCAGAGTCCTGATGACAGGGGTGGCAGGTCCTTCACAGAGCATCATTAGAAATCAGGTTGGCAAGAAGGGAGCAGAGGAGGCTGGCTGTGAACAAGCTGCTCACAGCACAGCCTCTAAGAAACCCAGCCAGGATCAGCAAGCAGAGCTACCACTGCACCTCTGTGCCTTGGCACATGCTGCTTTCTTTGATGTGATGCCTTCATTGTTCCCATGGAAACCTCTTACTTATCCTTCAAGGCTTACCACAGGGCCACCTGGGTGATTCAGTCTGTTGAACGTCCAACTTTGGCTCATGTCATGATCTCACAGTTTGTGGGTTCAAGCCCCGCGTCAGGCTTTACACTGACAGTGTGGAGCCTGCTTGGGATTCTCTCTCCCTCTCTCTCTCTCTCAAATAAGTAAACACTGAAAAAATAAAGACTTAGCATAAAGCCACCTCTTCAGGAAGTCCCCCTTCCATTTGTTCAGGATCACCTCTGCCATCTTGTCACACCTCTGTTCCTACTCCACTCACACTACCCAGCAAGTTGTTCTATGGCACAAAGGACCCCCTTCAGGATAAGTAGTTTTCCTCCAGGACTAGGATGATATCTGAGATTCCTTGGAATTCAGATTCTCTTCCTGTGAGATGCAGAGAGAAGATGGAAGGAGAGAACCCTGAGCTGACTGGGAAACGACCCCAAAACTACTGACCATGAAACCAGAAGTGGCTTCAAGTGGTAAGACTGAGTATCTAGTACTGAGTAATAATGAGGGCTTGGAGGGAAGTAAAGTTCAGCCAAGGAGAGACAAGTGACCTTTGATCCTGTAACTCTGAGACCAGAAACACTCATGCAACACACAGGAAACGTACAGCTCACACGTGGAACACACGTGGAACACATGTGGCTGCCTTTGCTGCGGATGCCTCTGTCTTTCCTGCCTGAGGTCCCAGGTCAAGTAAAGTGCAGCCAGGTTCCCGCTGGGAGAAAGGATCAGAACGGGAATTGGAAGCGCAGATGGAAAGCGAACAGTCCAGATATTTTTCACACAGTTTGATCCTGGGCCTCCCTTTTCTCACCTGAAAATGGGAACGTAAGACCCGAATGTGTAGAAAAGACTCAATGAGACAGCTTCTTTCTTCCTGCCCATTTGTCCTGAGCCGCCCTGAAATGCAAGCTGACCTTGGGGGCTCCAGCAGAACACGAGGTGTGCTTCTCTCATTGAGCTGGTTTGGTGCTTGTGGATGGGTGCGCTTTTCCGAAAGACCAGGCCAATGGTC